AAATCCACAGTCTTGGAATCTAAACGCGATTTTGACGGCTGTCGTAAATCGGTGGTTCGTGAGCTAGACGGAATTTCGACGTTCCTGATCTATTCTATACTGGAATTCCAGACGAATTCCTAACATCTATTCAAAAATTATACATTGATATTGATGAGAAACATGTGGGACCTGGTGGTGATCGGACCCACGTCTGTTTGATTATTAGCAATACATTGGTACATTTAGAGTATAGACCAACGAGCGCGTCAAATTAAAATATACTCAAAACTAATCAGTGCGCTCATGTTTTCTTTAACGCTACATATTGCATTATACGAGTTGACGAGGTAATGTGGATGTGTTATTCAAAAGGTAAAAGAGCCCTCGGCGAACATCGTTTGCATCTAATATCATTCGCATCACTGAATGTCGTGCGGGGCTAGCATGCCCGCTACGACATATATCTATCGAGTTAGACAAACTATTTAGCAATATATAGTGAGTGAGGCTAAACAACACGAGTCAAAGTTGTGTATATAGTGTAATTTCACTAGGTCCGTTCATCTTTGTAACTAATGTATTTATTACTGTAAATGTTTTAGACATTTGGAATATATTCGATCTCTGGATTTAAACGGAAACAGGTTGACAGGCAACCGACTGAGATTCTTCTCCTTTCATCAATGAAAAATCATGCTTATCTGCCCTCTAGTAACAAAAAATGTGATTGTTAGGCTTGTATAACATAAGCATAACAATAAAACCCAATAATTTCTGCAGTTCAAGCGAGACGATATGTAAGAGAATGATCTCGAATCTCGTAGAATAGAAAACCTGAGTTAGCTCCCGGTCTCAGGAGACGGGTAGACGCGACCCCGCCCTAAACTAAGCACTTAGTAAGTGTAACTGTATGTTGCGTTTTTGTATGTTATTTTATGAACCAAAGTCCAGTAACATATAGTCGCTTGAGAGTTTAACATACGGGTGCTTTAAAATGAAACAATTTAAACGCTGAAAGCCAATTACACGGCATAACATTTCTAAAACGTTCAGATTTTAACTTTAAAAACGGGGAGACAGCCTTTCAGTGATGACGGCTGCTGCAAAGCATCCAAAACGTCGGGCAGCAGTTAAAATAATTTTCAAATTTAAATAATTCAAAAGTTCAACTAATATATTTCGCGTTTGACCCATTAAAATGTTTTATTTAAATGTGTACTATTCGCGTAAACTAGAGACAGTACAAGTTTGGTCCCTAGATTAAGTAATTACTTGTTCTCGATCAAATGTCACTAACACACAATGTTGTTTATCATTCGAGACTTCGTATAAGAAAATTTTCTAAAAGAAAGCGAAAAAGAATGGGACTCATAAAACAACAAACTGTTATTTGTCACTGAAACACATCGATCGGCTGTAGTCTCATAGAACCGCGCTATATCGCGACGGGTCACACGTTGAGTTCCTTACGATTAGATTTATAATCCGAATGAAATGTACTGTTGTTGTCTCCTTCTTAAGCATTAGAATTACCACGCATCTAGGTATTTGGAATCATTATATCTTAGACGTTAAATCTGATGTGAGGACGGTACAACTGTGGCCTTGTGGTCACGCACGAGAGGTCCAGAATCCGAGTTACAGGCACAAAATAAATTTCTTCAGTCAAGCAGAAATAACCTCCATATAATTCGATATTTCAGTTAAGATCATATCATTGGTTCATTGGTCTAATGGTAGCAATGTATGGCCAATAAGGGTCGTAGGTTCGACCCCGACCCAACCAGACTTACAGCCAGCTTAAAGCATTTATAGGAGACCAAAGCCTTAGGCGGCTGTCCGTGAAGTTATTTTCAGTTCGGCTGCACGGTAATTATTGCAGACAATGGCTCGTCCTTCGCAGCAAGTTAGCTTGACTAACACCTCACATTTATCAACATCACGCGCAATCGCGCGAATATTCGAGTAAGCGACGCCACGCAATGGCCGCTGCTAATGCTCGTTCAATCGAGCGTGTATTAAGTCGTTACAATGCCTCAATCTACGTTTTTATGATAGGACAGACAAACATGGGGCTCGCTTGATGAAAGATGAAATACCCTAGCTATATAACATAACAAGATGTGTTGTCGAATTATTTTGGCTTAACCAACAGACTGAAATCGAAGCTTTGGACTTTCGAATATCCACGGACTAAATAATTCGTATAGATAAATTAACGAATTTTTCATTTATGGTTGTTGGCGTGACCCGGTTGTAGTTTAAATATTCTTATCACCCATTTAATATCCAATTTCCAGACGTCCAATATTTAAAAAAATTAAAACTAAGTAGAAGCATATTGGATATGGTGGGAATTAAATTCTCGGTCTTTTGATTATTAGCCCTATATGGCCACCTTAATTACTTCTTAACATCTATGGATTAGATATTTTTATTTTGTTAATAATGTTGTAACTTGATTTGACTGGCAGTCAATATAATTGCTAGGTTCCGTACCCGATATGTCTGTCTCTGTGTGTGATATGTCAGAATGTATCTCAAGAACCGGATCTAGAGAATTATGAATAAGACAAATTATGTATTTCGGTTGCCGTTAACACGAAGAACTCATTACATTTAGCAATTTGACGTAAATTAAAAAACGAAATCACATTATTGTTCGAAATGGCGGTATTGTTTGTGAAGTGCGTAAGTGTTGGCAGGAGAGTTTAAATATAGTCGCTGTTAAATTTATGGTCCTCGTGAACCGGGTAAGACATCTTAAATTAACGACTGAAATAAATGTCCCGGTGTATTTTCGAAAATGCTAGCTATCCTGAGGAATGGAATTGTATGCTTCCATAGAAGGATACAAACAATCGAATTTAATAAATACATAGTAGTAACAAAAGTTTATATTGCTTAGAAATTTAGGAAAAAGTATAAAGCATGCATGAATAAAAGGATGTCATTAATTTAATGATTTAGATCAGGCAACCCGCGGCCCGACGACCAATATTTGAACATCAATGTCTCTCTTTATAGGTACACAAAACAGTACATAATTACTATACCACAATATAATAAATTGCCAAACAATACCATTTTTTTTATAATACTAATTTAGTCTTTCTTATTTATGAAACTGTTAAGTATTTGAACTCAAGTTCGTAGAAAGAAACATACATTTTTTTAAATTTGGTGCGGCCCGTTGTTCAAAACGGTTTCTAAGAAGAAAACCCTTCTTAGTACCATTCACGTTCAAACAGATAGCGCTAACTTTGACATTTGTGACGCCTTCCATCTTTATTTCCCATATGACCGTGGCTACTTCTCAACGAAAGCGTCGGATCGTATTAAACTTATATATTTCGCGTTTTAAACCGTTTAAGGTGTTATATTTGAAGATATTAAGTTTCCCCAGACACCGCTTATTCGTCCCACGACCCGGTGATTTGTAACATAAAGACGTTACAAGTAACAGATCGAGATGTATTTTCGGGGCCCATATGTCGTGACGTCCGAAGCTGAAAAAAGATAAACGACGGGAAATAAGTGTCAGTATCAGTCAGCCTCCAGTTTTTCTAGTCGGCCGAACATGGTAGTCCTTTATATTTTCTCTCTACATCCGCAATTTTCCCAAGTGGCTTAGTGATCCACTTCTTATAGCTGTATCGAATAGAAAATACGCGTTAGCTTTCACTATTAAGCTGCTTATATCGTCTGGGATAAGATTACATTGTGTGTATTTATTTAGGACGGCAATTCTCCCTTCTTAAGTAAATTAATTACGATTTCGTACGGATTGTTATAGAGGCAGAAAGCAAATAATGCGGGACTATTTTGTCTTTCTTGTGCAAAAGTTGCATGTTTCGATTCGGATTAATTTAACCGAATTTCGGAAAGTTTAGTACCAAATTAATTATTTTCGTCTAACCGCATCCGTAGTTTATTTTAAGTTTTGCCTAGAATTACGTAATATATTTTATTGCGGTCATGAATGGCACAGAAGTCTGATCAACTACTGTATTGTAAAAAAATAAAATAAGCGATACCGACACAAATATCTGTTCGCTCTATTCTGCACATAATGTACCAGTATTTCACAATTGTTGTTATAGTGTATCTAAGAAGTAAGAACATAGGTTTAACAATTTGTTTATTTATATCATACATACATAGTAATTAATTTACTCTAAAGCTATTTAGGTTAGCAGTTCTGTCTCCCCGTGACAACTATATATCGCGTTTTAAACTGTTAAAGTGTTATACTCTAATATGAGTTTTTGTTGAGTGTTCGTTTATAATAAATGTAAAGAAACGAAGTACATGTAGCAAAAATGTTAGAACTTCGGCTTCAGTTAAAACCACATTCGCATCACTAGTTTTTACATTCATAATCTGTGGCTATAGAGCATTTACGCATTGTCCACATTACAGATATGAGGCTTATGGCCTAAATACAGATACGGCATGCCGTGTTGCTCTTAGAATAATGAGCCACTGTCACAGTAAGAGATTACCTAGCCTATAATGGATTAGCTTTTGTTTGCTGGTCTATTTAATTCTCATACGGCTGGCAAACCTTGCATATTTAATGTTTACTGGTAAATACGTAGGTTGCAACGGCTTCTCAAGATTCTATTTTTCTCTCAAGACTCTCTTTTAATTTGCAGATAGTCCAAAACTCGTTTTACGCCGCCTTTACACATTGATTTTGAAGTAATTCATTTTTACCATTAACCGGCTTCTCTGTTCGGTTTAAATATTTGTTATTAATGTTTATTTTAATATGCGAAAATCGTTAGTCTTATTTAACTAATAATTTCATATTTAACGAGTAAAAGTGTTTTACTTGTCTACTACTCGTGTAAACTGCTACTTAACACAAAAATTCCTTATAACGTATTTTTTTCCGTTTTTTATTTTAATAATAAGTCAATAAATCAATAATGGAAAATAGTACATGTAAAACCTGAAAACTGCTCAAATCTACAAACATCTAAGTATTTATTCTGCAAATGTTTCTTACGCAGCCGAGCTGGGAGATTACGATCCCAGAAGACACGGACCAGGCTACGTTTCAGAGTTTCGCTTTTTGACACATCAAACACCTGAATTGGAGGGTCGAGCTGCTGATATTCACAGAACATTAACGTGAGTACTTAGTAATTATATGCTTGCCTCAATGGTTAAGTGCTAGAGGTCCTAGGGCCTAAGTTCTAAGGTCTTTATTTAATACTAGCTAACAAGGGTTCATTTGCCATATGAAGTTTTTTACGTATTAGGTCAAGCAGAAAAAATCATATTATATCGGTATCGTGCCCGACAAAAGAGAAACGGAATTTCCCTCAAATTACTCAACTTTAAAGGTACTACCCGACGTCAGAATACTCACGAAATAGCATTTAAAAACATAGGATATGCAGAACCAACTTCGAGCACTTGGCACCAGCGCAGAGCCACAATTATATGCAAATTATGTTGACCTATCGCTTTGTCTAGCGAAGCGTTATATTACTTAAACATCTTATTTGTCTCTGTAATTTCTTGTTATCTCTGTCGTCACACAGAAAAGATCTACACAAAATAATAAACTGGAAAGCTAAACATAACATTCTGGGCCCTTACATTTAATTATTGGCTATCGCTATTAGTAAAAAGCGATAACGAGGGTGGGATTCGAACACACAAGACCGTTTTGTGTTGATGCTCTACCAATGGACACATCAGTTCAATTCAAGTTCTACCAATGAACACGGTAGCTCAATTCTAGTTCTACCAATGAACACGGTAGCTCAATTCGCAGAGAACACTTAACACTGTTGTGGGTTCGAGCACCACCCGTATAACAGAAATTTTATATAAATATATTTTTAATTTACGCTTTATTTTAATATATATTGTATGTTATATGAAATATATAATGGTCAATCTTCTTATTCAATTGTTACAGAGGTATATCTCCGGCGCAAGCTGAGTTAAGCTATTTAGACAAAGTCAAGTGGCTAGACATGTACGGCGTCGATCTCCACCCTGTCTTGGTAAATATCTCTAACATCAGTCAGTTTCAGCGCCTCGTCAGCTTTGTGTATTAAACAGAATCGATCTATTTAATGCAGGGCGAAGACAGCGTCGAGTACTTTCTGGGACTTGCGCCAAGTGGCCTGTTGCTTCTACGAGGGAAGCATACAGTAGCTACCTATTATTGGCCACGAGTCTCCAAAGTCTATTACAAAGGACGCTACTTCATGATCCGCGTGGCTGACAAAAATGTGAGACCAAATTTCTCTACTTAAGTTTATTCAAATAAAACACTTTTAACAGCTTTTAACGTGAAAATATAAGTTGTTTGATTTTAAATACGACACGATCAAGGCTACGGCTGCAGAACACCATAACACTTATAGAATCTAAAAAACAGTTAATGGTTTAGTTATCTTGTTAACGAGAAATGTGTTTAATATTTTGAGAATTCTTCTTGGTGTATATTTGCGTATGATTTTATTCAATCTGTTTTTTTAATAAGATATATTTTAAATAAAACACTTAACTGTTTAAACTTCCTGATAAAATATAATTGTATAGTATCCATTTTGCATTTTAAACCGTTTAATGTGTTTTAAATAAAATGGTACTATTTGCGTAAACTACAGACAAGAGAATACAATACGTCAATTCAATTCGTGATTAATGGTGTTTATTTTATTTTCTCATATAAAAATAAGTTCGTCTGTGCTCTATATAGAAAATATCCTATTATATTCTTAAAAGCAACAGAAACATTTCGGTAGAAAAGACATTAGTACGAATCGCATGTGACCCGCTTCCCGAATGTCAACTGATAGAGATCTGTTTCAAAAGAGAAGTCTACCTTAGTTTTTTTGAAAGACATTTGAGGCAGGCAATTACAGATAAGTCGGAGGAACTAAGCGGAGCATTCAGTGTAGTGATAACGCGACACGACTCGCCCACTCTACTGTATTTGTACTTTGAAGTGTATAAAAATAGGGGAATGAACTTAAAATTGCTTTTAAATTTATTCTTTGACACAACATTGATCAAAGCTACGGCAAAAGATATAATGCCCGCTTCTTTATTTATGAAAGCGTCGCTCGTTTAATGTATGTAAATTAAAATGATAGATTATTTAAACGTTCTTTGCCGATTCCGCCATTTTGTTTAGCTTTTGATTGAGCAGTTTGACAATTGACAACATTGATGTTAGTTTGTGAATATTTCGGTTATTGCTAATACATTTTATATTATTTATCGCTAAATTTATAAGTGATTTATGTTTCTAAGTTAAAATTGATGATTTTTATGGCTACTTAAAATTAAATACTGTCTATAGTTTACGCGAGTAGTACACATTTAAATAAAACACTTTAACGGTTTAAAACGCGATATATTAGTTAAACTTATTTGAAAATGATTTTTAACTTCGGCCCGACGTTTCGGATGCTTTGCAGCAGCCGTGGTCACGTGGGAGACGTCGGGCCGAAGTTAAAAATCATTTTCAAATAAGTTTAACTAATATATCGCGTTTTAAACCGTTAAAGTGTTTTTATTTAAATACTTAAAATTATTTAAAATTTTACAGTGGCTAATAAAACTACTAGTAATATTTACCTCTATATTTATTTTTTAAAATAATATGAACTATATTCTGTGGTTTACACGAGTGGTAGTACTCATTTAACACTACCCCGTTTCGGGTGCCTTGCAGTAATCTTGCCCGGTGTCCCCCATGGCCACTTGTCGTTATTAAAATCATTTAATCATATAAATTATTTAGCGTTGAAAACCGTTGAAAGTGTTTTATTTAACAAGTAATCTTATTCCATTGTCTGTAATATAATTTGGAGAAATTATTTTTAGTACAATTTACAAATATACATTAATACTTCAAAGGCAAAATTATGATCATTAAACATATAATTTACATAATCATTATAATTTTCATATTTATCAAATGAATAATAATTATTGTTTATTATAAAGGCATAGTTTTCAATGATAAAACCATGACTTAACGTTCGTTGCTGCATTTATTAATTCTAAGAATATTTTAGAACGACACTTCGACGTATGGCTTCGAATCACCAACGAGGGCGGCCTGCCGTCACCTGTGGCGCTGTTGCTCTGATCATCACACATTCTTCAGGCTTCAGCAATCGTCACCGGCCTCCGCTGATATCTTCACATTTGGGTCAAGATTGAGAAATAGGTAAACCCTAGTCAGCTAGTCTATAAATGCCGTGGACTGCCTGCGGCGGCTTTAGTTCGTATCCTTGCGGTGAAAATAAATTTTACAATGAAACCACTGACCTGACTGAACAATTGCAATTTGATATTTGTCACGTTGTACGCGGTCTACGGATTGTATATAAAAAGTACAGTGCTTTATGAGCAGTTGTTTCAACGTAATAACCCCACTGGGAATACGTAAAGATATTGAGAACATAAACCTACCGATCTGGTATTGGCGGGTTTTATCACAAAATTTGTGGTAATAACTGGAATCGACGGCTTACCTGTTCTCGGACGCATTGGGAAGAAGAAACCCATAGGTAAACCTTAGACCCTTCTTTTGGTATTTGATTTGTGACTCTTAAGTAGCTATACCAATTGACCGCAAAAGTAAACTTTGTGAGGGACCAGGGGAAGTCTAGGATCAACAGCAGCACCATCCCCTTTTTGCAGAGGAGGAATAGGTTTAAACCCTTCAAACTAATTTGAAAGAATTATCATACTCGAGTTATAATTACAGAAACACCAAAAGAGTTGCTACGCCATTAAAAAGACAAAACAAATACAAATTGTAGAGCTAACGACGTTACGAATTGCGAACCAAAAACGTTTCATGTTTTCTTATTACACAGCAGTGGACGTGGGACCAGACCCCGGCCACCACCCAGCTTTACGCGCACGCCCTCCAGGCGCTATGTCCGCCCTCATGCCTCGTATACATCTCTACACGATGGTAAGGTTTCTATGTATTTTTAATTCAAAGCAACAGCTTATGTTAGAGATAGCTATTATTATTACACTTGTATATTGTCTGTTCACTTCGTTGACTATACATGATGGTATTATTTAAATTAAAAGTCGTTTTTTTACACACCATCAGGTTCAAGGTGCAATGTCGACCTATTTTGGCTTTGGGTATTCTGAAATCCACAGACTGCAACCGAAACGTGATTCTTTTTCGTTTGTGAACGGTTGTTTGTCACCCGGACGGAATTTCGATATTCTTACCATCCATTTAATATCCAGATTTCCAGACGTTCAACATATTTCAGAAAAAAATATAAATTGATTAGAAAAATGTTGGACCAGGGACCCGGGCATCTAACACATGATTCGTTGATTATTAGCCTTATATTGCTACCATTACAACTAAGAGTCCGACAATTATATACATTGAAAAGAATTGACGACGTGAGCGATATAATAATGACGAGTCGGAAACAGGAGCTTAGCTTAGGCAGCAGCGCGGAACGCTGTGGTTGCCAGTTCAAGTCCCGCCCGCGTCGTATTTTTTTATAATCCAACAAGATTTTTTATTAAAAAAGAAATTCAGTTAAAAACGCAATATAAGTCAAATTCTTTTTAATAGATAATATATTTCATTTATATATTTTACTCCATAAAAATGTTTTATTAAATGCCTAAATTATAGACAATAATTATTTAGGGCCCTTTTTATTGTAGAACATTGAGTTCACTTAAATATCCAAAGCCAATATAGGTCGACGGCGCATTTTGTTTATATGTTTTATGGCTGTTCATTTTAATGTGTACTTCTCTCTGTCTTGTCTGTCCTTCTTTGGGATAAAGAAATGTTCTTCGTAGACTCCGATAAGTTCCAAGAATTCTACAGACTATTTTAAGTTTTGCCTTATCTGGAAATACTGTTTTAATAAAGAAAATGTCATAACCCCCCATTAAGATAGCGACTTCAGCGCTCGTAAAAGTATATTCTTTTCCAGTGCCAAAGCTAGAAGACTTAAGAATAAAAGACTGTCCTCAAATGAAACAACCTACCTCAGTACACCGACCTAACTCGTAAGTGGCCTATTATTTTTCGTTTTCAATTTCAGTTATAAGTATAATCTCGTTTGAGATGATTGAAACAAAAGTTTTGTTATATACATCGTATCAACCTATTTTTGTCTCTCGGAGCGATTAAGATCCCTCCACTGCGGTTTGGTGGGCTTTTCTTTTACTTCTAGTTACGATAATCGGGACTGACATAACATACTCCTCTCCATGCCTCTTGCTTCCAAATTTCTAGATGCTTCTAAAATTATTTTAAGTACCAAATAACACTTCGTCTTATCCAAAATTTTTATATATATAAATATATTTTAATTAATTCGTCGTATCTTATTTGAAAACTTATAAATTAAAAAAAAGTGACTAACTCCTAGACCATCAAGAAATTCAGGGTATATTACAATCCTAGTCGACTATAGATATTCCCACAGTTGGGACTACCCAACTTGGGTCGTTATATCACACATGTCATTATTCAGATATTCACAAAGTTAGGTAAGATATTGACGTTATCCTTACCATTTGAGAGAGTATTCTTTACTAGACCACGAATATAATTTATTTGTACCAAAAGCCAATTTGTTCAAATGTGTTACCAGCTTATTATTATAACGGTATTTGGTACAAAATTATAGTTAATCTGCGTATCAATTGAGTGACCGCAATTCATAACGTTCCCTACCCTAGTATCACATAATACTCGGTATTGCTTTCATTTTGTAATACTATATGCCTAGTAAGGTCACTACTTGGAAGTTATATCTGTCACAGCTGTTTTAAAAAAAAAGACTGACATAATATAATCAGTATCTTATAATAAGGGTATTAAGTCGGTTATCGCACCTACGATATAGAGCAGAGAATGCATGCAAATAGAAAGATTATTTCTGTGTCTAGTTCACTGAGCAATTTGTCAGGGAAGAAGTTCGAATTTGTGATGATTCTTAACGCAATGCATTTTACATTTGAGTTCAAAAAGCTATAATATCTACACATAATATTTGTTTCTCTTATCAAATCTGTTCGGTTGATTTTTTTTTACATATTTACATGACATATGAGTGAAGTAGGCTTTAATGTGAAAACATTGTGAACAATTTGACCTGTCTGTTTGACTTGCCGATTTTATTTAACCACGCAATTATTCCATCAAACTAATGCCGAGGCTCAAACGAATTGTTTGTCCTGAATTTGTACCTAGAATCCATCTTGCTTAGTGCAATGCAATAGCGAGAATTTAATGAGTCATTATTAATTAAAAATACTTAAGTACAGTTATTGTACATGATTAACTTTGATAAATAAATAACGATGAATGAATTGGGAGTAGCTACCGCTCAATTTAGTTACTCAAAATTGGACAGTTGTAGGATCTAGTACAAGAGGTACACATATGAGTCAATTCGTGATAGAATGCGAAACAAGGCAACGGATGTCAAATATTGGGTTTGAAAATTGCCTTCTATGATAGTTAAGAGCCTCCCATTTGAGGCTCACTCGAATTCAGCCGGGAATCGTTATATACCTGCGTTCAGTACGATACAGTAGTCTTTGATAGGGCTCGAGGCTTTTTCATGTTAGTGTGTCAAGTCCTCGCTGGTTTCCATATTTTTAATCAATTTTTTTTTTTATATTTTATAGATATTCCTAGTGTGGATGCAATTTTTCAAGATACCCTTGAAAAAATAAATATTTCTCTCCATTAAAACCTAACAATTTTAGCTAATTTATCACTTAATGTGAAACCAAAATAAAATATGCCCATTTTTATCAACAGCTTATGTAGTGTCAACACACTGAAAACGATATGACTGTAAAGTATAAATATTATATCCACTTTATAAATTCATAAGAGAATTCATTAGTATATGTTTATATACATAAAGTAAAATAGTACTAATTAGAATAGGATACACAATAAAAAGAAAAATTTAACATGTGTTAATTTTGATAAATCACTTCTCTCCCCATTGATACTAGAAAAGCTCAACTTTTCCGTACGTTTAAAACATCATTTTTTTGTATCTTCCTAAAAAAATTTATCTTTCCAGTTCTCGATTGCCTTTCTTTTCTATGTTCTCTAGCACCATCTACCTATAGTATTTTTTCTTGTTTTCCCTTCACATTTGGTGAAAAGAGATCGCTGTTTAGCGATTTTTCTTTGACGAATCTAAATGTATGTATTTTTATAATTTTATACAGACTTAAGTATATTTTATATATTTTTATAAGGTCGCCTCTTATTTATAAATTAGTTCATAAGTTTTCACTAATGCAAACCATTTCTGTTGTGTTTGTAATAATAAAGTTCATTAAAAAAACGTGTCTGTTTTAATTGGATTTTGAAAGGGCAGATTTTAATACCTTTATTAGTATTATGCTTACTTATAGAATAAGTGGTGAGGCAAATTGTGAACCAATAACAACGACGGGGGGTTCCCCGCGATCGACACGTTCTGCGCCGGCTCGAAGAGGGTTATATTCGGCGTCACCCACAGCCAACCGACCACCACCAGTGCCCAGACATAGATCTGCATCCGTCGACTCTCAGAGCTCAAACGATTCCAGATCGAATCGCAAGTTAGTATAGTTATCGTTATCGATTTGATCAGTATAATAAGCTTAATTGGTAGCTATTTGATCTGTAATCTAATTACACAGTAATTAAGTTCTGATTTGATAGAAAATTATCTTCCTAGAGGATATTGTTACAATATTTGCTTGACATTAGAAAAAACCTATATAAATTTTAATACAATGTTTTTTATTGTGCCTGTATATAGTTTTATAAAGGATTATGATTTGCATATTTTTTCTTTTACGTACTGTTTCTATTTATTTGTGTAACATGTGGTTGAAAGGGTTTAAGCCCGTGCTAAATAAAACTAAAAAACGATTCTTTTCTTAATTTATTCTGTTCTTTTCCTTTCCTCCTTTTAGTCTACTATAGTAGTCATTCAATATATTATGCTTCCCTTGTTATCTTAATCCTAATAAGTAAATCGCTATAGGCATAGACATCGCTCGCGGCGACAACAATCAGATGCTGAAAGTGAATTGTCAAGAGGTTCCGGTCGGTCAGGTCGAAGGCACCGACGCCATCGATCACGCCACAAGCACGACTCGGCATCAGAACGAGACGAAGCACAGCCTGATACCAAGTAAGTTGAAAGGAAAATATAAATAGGCAGGAAGAAACACGCTGGCTGCGACGAGAGCATTCTGATGAACTACCTGCCTATACAATCGATTAGTGAAACACGAAAATAATATCTTCGCCATAAATTCCTATTTATACTGATAAAAATATAATAAAATTCGGATAGCTTCATAAAGTAAATTCTCAAAAATTTTACGCGAGTAGTACACATTTAGCTAAAACACTTTCTAACGGCTTAAAACGCAAAATGTATTAGGAAAACTAATTTACGATTTTCACTATGGTCGACGTTTCGGATGTTTTTTAGCGGCATTGGTACCCTTGACCACGTTTCGCGTCATAAACGGTTTTAAAGTGTGTTTTATTTAGACTACATTCTTATCACACAAATCTTCTTAGCTAGTATTTTACTACAAGAAGTACTATGCAAGTTCGAAACAAATGTGAAACTACTCAATTCTTAGATTGATCAGAACTTTTCAACTAAAAGCCATTCAGCGCGTTATATAAATGTACTATGTTCGAGTTCGCTACTGAATCGGCCACTTTAGTGTTTTATCTCCGAAGAGAACCTAGTGGCGATTGCGTTAACTACCGTTATTAATGGTTCAATTCCTTGCAGAGAGTACGAGCTAGTGGACTCCGAGTCACAATGGAAGGAAGTATTGAGACAGACGTCAGGCACTGGCGTTCAAGTGAGTGCACTTCTTCGAGCGCTAGGATTAGCCTCTTTATTGCTCGTTTAATTAAACGTTATGACTCCGCCGGATTAATCCTTTGTTTTCTGCCGGCGTTTAATTAACTGATAGTCACTACGGATGCTGTCCGCGCGTACCGTATTAATTAGTTTGCGAACAATAAAAATACAACGTTACGTACAACAGATATGATTTTGTATTTGCCTCATTATTATGATAGAGGAGGGGAAGCGTGGGGTCCACTTGATGGTATGTGAAATATCCTATCCATATAACATCTAACACGATGCGCTGTTGCCCTATTTTCGCTTTGGATAATCGGAAACCCTTAGACTGAAAGCGAAACGAAAAGCGATTAAACTTCGCGGATTCTCATCTGTGGGTGGTGTTAAAACAAAACGTAGAATATTAAAGGCGTTGATCAGCGTTGCGTTGATGCGGGAGAGGCCCTGGGTTCGAATTCTGGGGAACTAATTGTTTCGGTCGGAGGCACAGCGCCGGTCAATTACATGTGATAAATAAAATCGGACGCAGAAATGTGTTCGCAGCGGGAAACGAGATTTCACTTTATGTGATTCTCCCCATTTTTAATAGAGACATATATCGCATATACATGCCACCAGTATTTAATATTTGACTCGACCGTGCTGTCAACACTTCACAGCTCAAGGCTCCATCATCTTTAATTGAATTTATGGTTCTAAACGTAACAGTCTATAACTTTTCGACGAAGTCTATAAATATTTTACTAGTAACAATATCAAATATTTATATAAAACATTTAACGGCTAAAAACGATTCGTTAACTGTTAACGATCCGTCACCTGCCTTCCATGACTTAGGCTGTTACGGAACATATATTTCGCGTTCTAAACCGTTAAGTTTTTTAACCGAGACGTTAAGCTACAAACAAAATTTATGAATGGATCCATCTTTCATGGATCAATCCGATCTAAAAGTAGAAGTTGTTTTGTTTCAACCAATTAATGTTCTGGTCTCCTCTCGCATAAGACATGTAAGAATGTAGTCCCACACCACCACTACACATCTACAAAAGCACAGTGACCGAAAATTGTTAACATAATTCTTGCACACTCTGCCTCTATCAGCTTCATATTTACATAAGGTTTTTTACTATTTCGGTAAATGCAGGTCGCGAGCGTCCGTCGTTCACAAATGGAGCCGGAGATAGGAACCCATCGTTCATCGCACAGACCGCGAAGACACAGAAAACATCGGTAAATAGAACATTTTTCAAGCTTTCCTTTATTCCGAGATTTCTACAAGCCACCCTTTGTTCTTAGAAAAATCGGTTTATATATGATCCACACATTGTACTTATAAGTTGAACGCAGTTGTATTGTAAGGTAAGTAATAATTTGAACTCAACGCGTAACGGTTTAATACGAAAATTATACTTAAACTATTATACATTTCAGATTTAAATAAAACACTTTAACGTGTTTAAAAAATATTTTTAAGTTTAACTAAAATATATCGCGTTTTAAACCGTTAAAGTGTTTTGTGTACTAGTCGCGTAAACTACAGACAGTATTACATTTCAGATGCTTTGCTGTAGTGACCCTCCATTGTGCACTAGTATAGTAGGCGTTTTAAACCGTTAACACTGTTTTACTCAAATTGTTAACTACTTGTATAATCTAGATTTATCTTATTTATTATTTATAGTATCGTTTTTTATTTACATTACATTATCAAGTTCGATGGATTCGTAGGTTCGAGTCCCGACGTGTCGTCTTTAATCAATAAAAAAAACATTAAGCCAGTATTATGAAAATATCTTATTATGGAGATCAATATGAGCTACAAAATTGTTTAAACTTTGTAGCTCATATTTATAAGTTGATGAGCTTTTTAAAACTTGAAAGAAATTCTTTATATCAATTAATTAGTTAAGCCTAAATAAACTCACTCGTTATCATAGAATTAAACTATGTTGAATTGATTTAGAACCTAGAATTTATTTGAAAGATTCAAAAGATAAAAGGACCCGAATTGCTTCAATTCGAAAGTAAATAAAGATGTCTCTAATATGAAAAGTTGGAAATCTTTAATGAAATTTTCTTTCTTCTAGAAAAAATGGCTCACTATTCTGGTTCGAGAAGTTAGTTCCGACTGGTATCATTTTAACTTTTAACCCCGAACCGACTTGGCACGCGTCCTAACCTTTTTGATAGCTTTCCCACAAACCGTTAGTTCGCAGTGAGCTTTTAAAATACAGAGCCGTTTTAAAGATACTTTAGCGCACTTTATTTACAAAAACCGGACCGGTTGTTGTTAATTATAAATTTTGTAACTTCGACCAGACAGGTTGGCGGGTTCAAAATATATCAATAAAATATTTTTATATAAAGAAACATAGGGCCAAATTATTTTACAACTCCATATAATAATAATAATTAATTATAAAAATGTGATACATGAATAGTTACACTTTTTTTCACTGTTTTACGCATAAAAATTAATTCCTGATATCGGTATGACATTTATTTATATATAGACATGTATTTATATGTAGGCATTGTTCGCAAGATTAATGTTATTATGTTGATATAACTCTAACAAATAATTAGTAAAAAAGCACTTATTTCCACCAAATTTGATTACAGTAAAAACGGATGTGGTAATCTAAAAAGATAGATATATTCGCAGACATTTTTTAATTCCTTAAAAGAAGAATTTTTTTTTATTTGAGTACTTGAACCGTTTTCGCAGCTTACGCAATGGAAGCCCTCAAATATGAATAAGTTTCCACGTCTTTATCGCTATTCCTATTTGTCGTAGCGTGTATGTCATATAGCCTAAAACTTTCGATAAATGGTGTATCCAACACAATAATATTGTTTAATTTGAACGACTAGTTCTTCCAATCAGCACGTTCAAAGAAACTTCAGCTTTATAATATTAGTATAGATTTTCATATTGTGTCAATTTCTAACTCCATCGTAGGTCACGGTCTGGTTCACCTGACAAAAAATGGCTTCCGAATGAACTCAAACAACACTTGGAGTTCTCCCTAGTGGATACTGCGGGAATGACGGAAGAGCAACTTAAGGAGATACCATATACAGTCGTACAGACGAGCCATGCACGGCATACGAAGTTGCGAACGACGTCAAAGCATAGGCAGTAAGTTCGAAACCGTTTTTTGTTTAACAGAATAGGTCAGACAAAAATGGAGATCGCTTGGCATTCCGCTCTATAACTCTCAATTAAAAGTCTACCTTTTTTTTATTATGGCCTTAGGAAATCTGTAGAATGGTTAAAAATTAATTTATGCCCCATCACTTCCACGTCCATTTGAGGAGGTTCTACGATATGTAAATTCAAATAATTCTCAACTAAGAACATACAGATTCATTGCTATAAAAAACAATATTACGATTCACACATAAATACTTTTTTAAACTTTAAACTTTTACACGTGGTTGTACTATATAAATCATAAATTGAAAAAAATTACGTCACGGGCAGGATTTGAACCGACCTCCACAATTGACGAGCAACAGTACGGAACGCCGTGTCGTTTTTTTTTTTAATTTATAATAAATTTTTAATTCACATAATTTTATTGAAATTACAAAATTGAGTTTTGTAATTTCAATAAATTTATGCCGCCATAAATATCTATCAAGTGAGAGGAGACAGGGTGTACACAGTTATTATGTACGCAGGAACGAGCCCGGATCCCTGTCAAGACGGGAGAAGGGTCACAAAAGTGATCACGACAATCACAATCAAGGCTCACTCAGATCGGTCTCGAGCACCCTCAGCGCGCACAGGACCTCTAACGAGAAACATGGAAGGTTTGATTTTGCCTATTATCCCTTCTTACTTGCTTCATGCTCCGCGTAACCTCTCGAAATAACTCTTATGAGATAGTGAATCGCAGATGTAAAGCTTTTGGGTTATTTTACCAATAATTAAATTATTTCATTTTATTTATTTGGAAAAGAAACAAACAGTCACTTAGAAAACAATGGATTACTTAAAATGTTAAACAAATAGACCTAAAGTTTCACTTAATTATATTTACGTGACGTAAATACAACAGATACACATTAATATTGCATTGAGGTTAAGCCTAACTGGTCGCTTGTAAAAGTGATGTCCCGTTTCCCCACGTGGGGCATGGGCGGACTCAATTCTGTACCCGTTTCAGTGATCGGTCCTTCTACAGGCAAGTAGTTGACCAGACTTCGGTGCCCTGCCCGACCGGAACCCTCTTTGTTTTGACGGGATTCGAACTCAGGACTTCTCGCGCTTAATGCAACACGTTTAACCATTTAACTACTGAGGCGGTCGCTTGTAAGCCCACGACGTAAAGAATCACCACCTAAATACTGTCTATAGTTCACGCGAGTAGTACACATTTAAAAATGATTTTTAACTTCGGCCCGACGTTTCGGATGCTCTGCAGCAGCCGTGGTCACGGGGAGACATCCGAAACGTCGGGCCGAAGTTAAAAATCTTTTTTAAATAAGTTTAACTAATATATCGCGTTTTAAACTGTTAAAGTGTTTTATTTAAATCACCACCTAATCTAGAGGGTTTTTATTAAGAAAATGCAAAATCAATATAAATATAGGTCAATAATTGTAATGTGTGCATTATTATCTTAGAAATAGTAAGCTCACTTAAACGTGGAAACATATACAATATCAGAATCCTTAATATCATATTTTCTCATGCTTATAAAGAATTTTACTTTTGTCCTACCTACCTTTCTTTTAAATAAGCAATGAATGATTGATCGCTTGACTTAAACATTTATAATTATTTAGACAGATAAGTCACTTCTCTTGTTAATAGGTCAAATACCTCAAGCTTGTGTTTTCTACATTCGGAAATTCACGGACTGAAACTGAAACGTGTTTACTTCTGAAGTATTTTTAATCCTTAGGCGCATCTACCCATGCTACGACGACCCAGCGCTTCGAGCGGGCGATGACTTTCTCACAAACAATGGCTACAAAAGCTCTGCGACTCCAGTAAATAACAACCCTTATAGTCCAGTCACCAACAGCAACAGCAATAGCTCCAGCGGCGAACTGATAGGCAGTGCCAGAGTGTCACATGAGCACACAGATTCCGGTCTAGGCGCTGACCAGGATTATGCTTATTCTTCCGAGAGGTAAGTCTAAACTCAAACAGCAATAAACATTATTTTATGCCTAATAGGAACAAAGGACTTAGATGTTCGAGAAATACACATTTAAATAAAACACGTTTAAAACGCGAAATTTTATAATACTTTTAACATTTTAACTATTTAGCAGTAGACAGACAGTAGAGTTTAGGCTTGTTCGCTCTTCTTCTTTTCTATACTAGCGACCCACCCTGGCTACGCTTGGGTGCAATGCTGATACTAAATACACTACAGGAAAACTGTAAACGTTGCATATAAAAAATTTCCTTTTGAATCACTCTATCGATTAAAAAAACCGCATCAAAATCCGTTACATAGTTTTAAGTACATAGGGACAGAAAATTGTAATTTTAACAAGCTCCTCCGTTTCAGGTCAAGCGACAGCGCGAAGTGCGGCGCTGGTGGTTCGCTGGCTCCTGTGAGTAGGCAGTGGGTCGGTGCGTGCGGCGTGGAGGTGGGGACCGGTGGCGGGGTGTGGCGACGACCGCCAGCTGGTCCGGGGCGCGCGCGCGCAGCCACCGGTTCGCAGCGGTCTCTCGTGTCTGTCGCCAGCGATAGTGCTGCCACGAGACGATCACACCACGCACATGCCCCGCCACGCGTACATCCCCACCCCGCGCACTCTGGCTTTTCTCTCTTCGTGAGTGGGCGCTGTGCTTTCTAACATCTCGGTAGCCCTCGTAATAGTTTTTAGGGTCTACAATATAAAAAGTCCCAACAAACAAAGCCCTTAACAGTACACAATCAATAAACACACTATTTTGTTTTTAAGAAGTAGATGAGAAAGAATTATTGTACAGGAATGCAAAGTACCGAGGAGATACGTAAGTTCTTCTCTTGGAAATTATTTATTGCATTTTTAGCAGGCTATCAGGTAAATTTCCTGTTTTGAAAGATTTAATGGAAATTATTTAAGAAAAGTGAAATCTCGTTTTCCCTTTTGGGGATCTAGCCGTTTCACTGATAAATTTTATTTACAGGTCAGCAGTTGATCAGACGTCTACGCCCTGTCTGATCGATATATTTCGTTTTTCCGAAATTCAAACCTAGGACTCGTGCTTCGTTAAGCAATGCTAGCACTTAACTATTGAGCTACGCCATTATTTAACTAAGTCTAAAAAATATATCAAAATTTTGAATTTTAATTTGTATGCAATCGGTTCTTCGAGCCAGACAAAAAAATCTGGACTTCAAACTACAAATGTGGCTATATGAAACATTACTTTCCAAAATCAAAATTGTTTCATTTCGGGATCATTTAACACGCTACAACATTACAACGACACACATTCGAAGTAGTCTAAAAGCTTTACGAGAGCCGCCGTGTTTTTGCAGCCCCTGTTTCTGGGCCACTAAAAAGTTAACTATGTACTGGTCGCTGTAAAAAAGGCCATATTTCAATTCTATTCGCATTCAATATTCATGAAGATAAACCTGGATTAGTCTTCGTTGAAACTGAAGGAACGAACAATTAGAAAATGAAAGTTTCAAACGAAAATTACTATTCCTTCATTATTAATACAATCACTGCTCAGCTGAACTTGCTTTGATTGGGGCTTTAGATTATGGATGGACTTATCTATCTGTAGGTATATTATAATAAATTCGCTGGTTTTCCGCCTTCTGGGTAGTAATTATATGGGTTCTATCTATTAATTATTTCTTTTATGCCTTTAATAGTATAATAGAGACAGTGAAACGGAATTTCGAGAATTACAATAGACAACATCGAAAGCTACACCGCGCACCATACTGTACCAATTAACATGAACATTTTAATGATAATAAATATTTATTGAACCCAGCATTTATATCTTGTAAAAGTATGATAACTTAACAACATTTTCAGCAACTTTGTTTTGGTATCACTCGTCTTAAGTTACTTCTTAAAACGTTATCTAAGCAAATTAATGACAATAGCATTACATAAATTAGGTCACAAAAAATTGCGATACTGACAGACTAGCACGGGTTGTGATCGTGCGTACGGGGACTGTGTGGTCTCGCTCGTACTGTAGTTTTTTTCTAATCTAAAATTTTTAATTTATCATGAGCATGTTATGTTATTTACCATGTAAAGATAATAATGTTGTAAGTTTGTTTTTAAAACATTATTACACATTTTACAAATAAAAATTCTTGATTGAGTACATTTCGTTATCGGGTGTGCTAGCCCCCACACTAAGATTCCCTGTGTCGTGGGCGGCTAGTCTTCCTGTATACTAAGAATTACCAATTAACGTCTAAATAACTAAACAATAAATATTTATTCTGTTATTACATATTCCAGTAGAATGTTACTTAAATGTGTTTAAGTTATTTCTTGGTAAACTATAACTTTGATATATACATACGTCCAACTTGGTAATTACTGATCCCGGTCGGTGTGATGCGATGCAGTGGACGCAGTCAATTAATTGTTCCGTTTCACTGCGTCCGAATTGCGAGCATATAATATTGCACGCATCGGTGGTCTGACGCGTGTCTGATTGCGGCGCAGAGGCACGCTAGCAACAACAACATAGTGGTCGGCGACAGCGGGTCCCTGGCGCGGCGATACGCGCGGCCGTCGCGCGACTACAACGCGAACGTGCCGCGGACGCACGCGCGTCACGCACGCCACGACACCACCCTCGACATTATCCTTAAACCGCTCATAGAAAGCACGCAGTAAGTAACTACGCTATTTGGCGCGACGGTGGTGCGATCCGTAGAAAAGACATACCATTTAAATGAAACACTTTAGCGGTTGAAAACGCGAAAGTGACCGTGGCTTTTAAACCGTTAAAGTGCTTTTTTAAATTGTGTACTACTCGCGTAAAAAGTATATACCGTTTTCAATGAGAAGTACATTTTACTTAAACTATTTTTAAACGGGTTGAAACGTGATTTTATGACAAGCTATTTAAAAGCAGTCGTCGGTTAATGTATAAAAATTAATCGCGTTTTAATTCATTTAAAGTAATTTTGTTTTAAACTTAAATAAAACGTTTTTGTTGAGATTCATTATAAATAATATTGCGTTTTAGCATGCATTGCCACGCTACATGTGCAATAAAAACGCGCTATTATTCTCGCGAATCGCATCACCAAACAGCAGTCTGTGTGTTACTGTAGCGGAACGATTTGCACGATTATCGCCCCATCCCGGATTGTGACTCGTTTGCATGCCTCGGTGAAGGACTAACTGACTAATCACTAATCTTGGCTACTTTGTGTTAATATTGTCTATCGTCACTAAACCGTGTCAATTGTTTATTATGAATGTATGTTCACGCAACGTTCTCCACGAACAGGCTGCAAAGCAACTGAATCCGGGCAATGCGCAAAGCGTGGACGGAGCAGATTCAACGTTTCAGAAAAGCAACGCCAGCAATGCAACAGCTGAAATGAGCACGGAGTTATAATCTGTACCGTTTATGAACGTCAAGGAGATTTGTACATTTTCGTCATCTACGGTTTTTGATGTAATTTTGCTCTACAATTTTTAAACCGTACGCTATTTTCAAATGTATGTATTAATAAAATATAATAAAACCAATTGACGTTACAATTACTACTTATTTGTCTTGAAAATTTAACTGAAAATACTTATTTAGAAATAAGTATACAATATTTTTGTGCCAAAGATCGCTAGAAAACGCATTACATAAGAAATAAACTTGTAAGCTTAACATTGTCTACGTGTATGGAAAATGGCTTAGTCATAGGGGAAATTATCTATCAATTATAATCATTCGTCCAAACTGGTGTAGTCAATAATTGAACAGAAATGTGTATCGTGGGTTTTAGATTACGATTATTGTATTTATGGAAGTGGTAGACTTTTAAATGATTTTTATATTTACGACTTGTCATTAAATTCTTACCACAGAGTATTATTTTATGCTTATTACTTTCCTATTTCTTTGATATCAGAATATGAACAGTGTGTTAGGTCTCGAATTTCCAGTGGCTACTACGACTAGAAATAACTCAAGAGTGTGTTATATTCATTTAAATAAAATTTTTTTAACTGTTATCTCGCATAAACTACAGACAATACTGAGTTAGATAAAAACTTCGCCTAAGGGTTAAATTCCAATAAAATTTACAGAGGGCACATAGTGATCGAAAGCCTTCTCGAGCGCTTGATCTTATATAGAGTCACTAGGCATGGGCAACCCATGCCCTACGTGGTTAGAGATGGTCATTGTGTGTAACTGTGTATGAGTGTTATTGAGTGATTATTGAGGTTGCTAGTGTTATAGAGTATTACTTTTTATACGGAATCGCTGTCCTAATGGTGCGCTGTTCCGTGTACAACATCCGTGTGATTAGACTATCCCACACCAAACTTCGACAAAAATAATGATAATCATTTAAATAATAATTACCTTTATCAAGCTATATTAGTCGTGAACTGTATGGTTGTTGGACGGTTTCAAACTCTTAATGTTCAGAATAAAATAATAAATCGGAGGGTAGTTTTGTATTATCGGTACGACGGCTGAACGAAAGTAGAGCGCGATGGCAGTCGCTTTTGGGTGCCGCTCGTGCGAGTTGTTTGTGCACAGTTTGTTTATAAAGTTTATGTGACTGCTAAATAAAAGTATAAGTTAAACGGCCCCTTGTTAGGAACATTTATAGATATTGTCAATATAATTTCCGCGAGGCCAGTGCGTTATTAAGAGTAATACATAATCGTAGATTCAGTGTACATTAGTATGTACACTGAATCTACATAGTTGTAGTGACGTGAGTTTATACCCGGGTCGGGCTTAAATCTTTTGTTTCTTAATATAATTATATTCAGTCTTATGGGCGCCGTTTAATCCCAGCTACACAATTATAGTGCTATAAATCAGCACAACCACTGGTCCGGAGGTATGTACTTAGAATATAGACCTAGTTAGCCATATGCTTATCACACTTTGTTGTATTCATTCTGAACAAATTTTCAAAGCATTATAAGTTACATCCTCTTTGACTCCGTTTGTACTATTGGAGTATCTATATTGACGATGTTTATTTTGTCCTTTGATTCTGTGGTCTTAATATCTTGTTGACCATGTTACCATCTCGTTGACCTTTACATTTCATAAATATCTTTGTTAGGCTAAAGTTACCTTTGGTAATTGGTACATGATTTTCATTTTGGATAATAGTAACAATCTTTCTGGTATTTTTGTTGTGTGTATATTTTGGTCTTTAATGATGGTTTGTAAATGATAAACAATATAAATAACTTAACTATTCTATATTTAAAAGCGAAATCCCGTTTCCCCTACTGGGGCATAGGGTGAATACACATCTGTATTCGTTTCACTGATCGGTTTAAATTACAGGCAAGTAGTTAATCAGACTTCTGTGCCCTGCCCGACCGAAACAATTTACTGTTTCCCCGGGATTCGAAACCAGAACCTCTCGCGCTTAACGCAATGCTAGGCTACACGGTTAACCATTTAGCTACAAAAGCGGTTGTTAGTATTCCATATTTTAACCATTTATATAATGTTGTACTTGTGTTTCTTTTTTGATCTTTAGTGGTTCACAATTTTTTATTGAAAGAGATACCCTTTTTTTACTAACGTGGGCGTTTCACCAGTTCATTGTAATTTTTTAATGTTTTAATATAACTCCCAAAAAAAAAGTGATCTTATTTGATTGATTGTGTTATTTTTTATTTTTTTTGTGATCTAGCAATGCAAAATAATTTATGAACCTGCACACATTTATTTTTCACTTACCTATCGAAATCCGATACCTAACACACTGTATAATAAAAGTTTTGTACATAATCATGACAACGTAGTCTATCTACATAAATGTAACTAAGATTTTTTTGTATATTTCGTTGTGTACATAGATATAATATGTTCTGTATAGTTGAGGCTAGCGTTTTAATTACTTTTAAAATCAGCGATTGAACACCCAAATACAAATTGGAAATTGAACGAAATACCTTACATCAGAGAATTCAAATTAAAAAATACAAACAGACAAATTATACCTTGTGCTTATTAAATATCTGTAATCGGTATTTAAATATTTACTGGTAAGTAGTTAATGGGTGTTTATAATATTAATTTAGTTAATCATAATTGAAACAGTCAATTTGTACTGTACAAGACTGACGTCGTTTTCTAAATTTCTACATACACCTACGATTCTCTTGACTGTTTGAAACCGTTGTATAATTTTCCTGAAAGTTCGTGATGATCGATATTAAAGTTATTATTTACAAAGTTTCTCTTTGATTTCAATCTTGGTGTATATAAACAGGCAATATTTAGGCTATACGTAGCTGTAATAATGTAAATAAGATACATACTTCGATATCCTGTTCCACCTACATGTGGTACAAGGCGGGCAACGGGCTCCGTGTTCTAATGACATGACTGAAAAACAGTTGTTGTCCTGAGTTCAATTCCCACCTGAAACATGTTCGGTTTGGTCTGAAGAATATATTAACTTGGCGCTAGTAATATTGCCACAGATATCACAGAAGTTTGCAATGTCTAAATCCAAAAATATTTGTTTATATTGCTTGAGTATATAAATAGATACTACGTTGTTATCTTTAACGCGCAGAGTGAGAAAAAAATAGTATGTTACTAGATTAATACCAAATAGCTAACCGCCTAGCAGCCCAATCTAGAATAAATGTAAAATAATCAATTAATTCTTTATTCTACAAATTACTGAACGATATTTACTACATTCATATTGTTTATATAACAGAGGAGAAGAGATAAGCAGAGGGTTCAGGGTATGTGACATACGCCAGCTGTATAACATCTAAACGATGCGCTGTCGGCCTATTTTAGCTTTGCATATTCGGGGCGGCAATCTTTTTACTTTTTACTGATCTCTGTAAATTTGTAATGTGATGTGAACGCAGGATTTCCTGGTGGTGCTTACACATAGCCCAATTTTTAATGTGTTTAATATTGAAACAACAACATGCAATAATTACATAAATTATCATTACGGTTACTAGATATTAATTAATCCAGAGGTTATAGATTATTATTGAACAATGATCTTGCGCCGCGATAATTATACGTCCCTTATGTCTAACGAGGATTTCTGTTTATTCAAAGTGCGAAATTATTGCTTCTATACACAGCACACTAAACATACAACACATTTAACGGTCTAAAACGCGATGTGTATCCGATAACTGACGAAACTTCTTTAAATGTTTTATCTCAATGTTTACTCACGTAAACTACAAAATATCGTGTTATTATCCTTCATAATATTACATCTTTTCAACCCATGAATGTAGAGATGTAGGGCACAGAGGTAGAGACCTGTGCTCTACATCTCTACTACTTCTTTCATTACTACTACATCTTTCAGAACAGGGTTTTCGACCCACCACTCTGCTTCAATAGAATTGACTGATTTTTAAGTACTGTCCTAAAGTAGACATAATATTATGTGCTCCTCAAATACATATGGATTCGTTGTCGATGTTAGATTTCTTATATACAGATGTATCAAATAAAAAAAGTTACTAAATATAATACAATCTATTGTCACTAATTTACGCGAGTAGCGCCAATTTAAGTAGAACTTTTAAGGGTTTAAAACGCGATATATACTAACTTATTATGCGCATTAGTTTATGTTAACTTATTTTTGTCCATCCATGATCAAAAGACTGCTGCAAAGCTGTAACGATATCTTATTTAAAAATAAGTGTATAATGACTTTTTTAACATAAATAAACTATACTATACTGTAGTTTACATTGCGCGAGAGGTGCATGTATCAATAAGTTGAAAAAATTCGACGATGAGGTGTAGGACTCGGTAGCTCAATTGGTAGAGCAACAGCACGGAAAGCTGACGATGCCGGTTCAAGTCCTGCCCGAGTCGAAAATTTATTTCAATTAATTTTCGATTTTTAAATTATAAATAAACTAGCTGTGCCAGCGATTTCGTCCGCGTAGAATAGTGATTTTGGCCATGAAATTAACCACGACCAACGACGTCGGTCGCGTCCTGGCGTTCTTGTAAGTTAATCTCAAAAGATAGACATACTATCGTAGTCATGTTTCAAAGCAGTCCTTCCTGAGATTAGCGCATTCAAACAAACTTTTCAGCTGTATACATTAATATAGGTTCCCAATTTGTCATTTCATAGAGGTAGTGAAAGGTGGGAGGGAATCAGGTGTTCGGGCTCAATTTGCTGACGCGAGAAAAAGACAAAATGGACGCTATCTCGTCTGCGAGCCCCGATGTCCACTATTCGACGAAGGGTGAAAACTCATTACCAGTGTTTAATGAAAGGGTTCCCGGGGCGTGTATGATTACTGGTTA